TCCCGCTACCTCCTGTTTTCACTCTTCCTGTGACTCTCTGCCCTCCCCAGTCCCTTTCCGGTCCTGACAAGGTCATTCGCAGACGAGGCCAGTCTCTTCCTGAGACCACACGTTGGTTTCCCAGGCCAGTCCCTGTGCCAGAGCACAGGCCGACCCTGGTCACGGAGGCACCCACAGACGGGACCTGAAGCCTCCCCCATCTCCCTCCTCCCCGCCCCGTTTCCTCCTCTCCCTCTTCTCTGCACCTTTCTCACTCAGCCTTTCAAAATGTAGCCATTGAAGAAGTGACCCCAAACACCACCTTTCTTTCCGCCTTTGGGTTCAGACACCTGAGGGAAAGCGGTGGACACGGGGAGCGGGAACCAGACGTCTGTTCCCGTCAGTGGCTCGGAGCTCTGTCGTGACATGATATGTACTTGCGTGTGTCCGTCATGTTTCTGACTTGGGGTTTGGAAAGCATCATTCCTGTGGTCAGAATATAAATGCCAATCTTCTCCTTTGCTAAAAAAAAAATGTACAGTAAAATGTACAGTTTTAAAAACAACCAAGCAACCACGCTTCTTGGGGGAGAGAAAAAGAGCATTCTCGTGTCTGTGAGTGTCTGCTGTCCATTTCTCGGGAACGCTGCCGTCTTCTAACGGGCTTCGCAGTGGCATTTGCCCGCACACCTGTGCTTGTCACTGTCAAGTTCACGTATAAGACGGAAACCTGAAAAAGAGAGAATGAGGCCGTCCTCCGGAGTACAGAGCAGTAGGGGGATGTGGAGTGAAGCTCCGGGTTAAAACAGACTAGCCCATCCCCAGCTACCCTGCTTGTCCCACCTGATAAGGGGATCTCACATACCACCTGCCTCTTCTTTCCTGGGCCGTGGCCACCACCACACTGAGCCACTAGGGGCGCACGTGTGCCTTCCACCCATTTTGGTTGAGCTGGAGGGCACTTTTTCACAAAGGGTCTTTTACTGGGGAAGCAGTACAGCAGCCCCAAGCACAAACCCAAAGTCCAGACACAAATGAGCTTCTGGAACACCGCTTCCCAGCCCTGCTTGCATCTAACGCCTACATCAGCACTGAGCAATAGGCATGACGTGGGAGCCACAGTGGCCTCTGACACTGTCCAGTGGCCACATTAAAGCAAGTTTAAGAAACAGGTGAAATTAATTTTAATTATATATGTTATCTAACTGAATTTATCCAAAATATTATCATTTCAACACGTAATCACTACAAAGTTATTAATAAGACGTTTAACTTTTGTGGCACAAAGTTTTGTATGTTTTGCACTCATGCCACGTCTCAGTTCAGACCAGCCACTTTTGAAGGCATATGTGGCTCAGACCGGCCCGATTGGACAGCACAGCCCTAGACATACAACGATGGACGCAGAAGCCCAGCTTCTGGGAAGAAACTACAGTTGGTGAGCACCTGCATTTTCAGGGACTGTGCCTGGTTTTCACAGGCATTCCTCACTGAATCCTCACTGCAGCCTCTCTACCGAATTGTTATGCCCATTTTACAAATGAAAGGATTTAGGCTCAGAGGGGTTAAGTCGCTTGCCCAAGGTCACACAGTAAGTCTGGCTGCAAAGCCTTAGATCGGTCCACAGTATCAATGCTGCCTCCGGTAGCCTTTCTTCCTCCCTTCAACCAGTTACAGATGGCAAGTCACACTGGTTGAAGTCTGCAAATGTATAGCCCCACCTGGAAGCCCTTGGTTTGACCCCCAGGTCTGGTAAGATTCTCAGTGTTGACTCCCGCAGAGCTTCAGTGGTTCCTTGTGGCCTCACTGGCCGCTCTGGCCCTTCTTGGCTGGTAGCACATTCCCTCCTTGGCCACGATGCTCCCTGCAGGCTTCAGACAGCCCTGCCCAGACCACTCTGCTGGTCATCCCTTCTCCTAACCTGAGGACTTGTTTAATGCTTTCCACTCCCAGCCTCGTCTGTTCCCTCTGCCCCAATAGCCTGTAACTTCATCCCCTTAAGATAGAAAGCCTCAGCCCTGGCCAGTGTGGCTCAGTGGGTGGAGAATCAGCCCATGCACTGAAGAGTCACGGGTTTGAATCCTGGGCCCTGGATTCAATCTCTAGGCCCTGGTCAGGGCATGTGTGGGAGGCAGCCGATCTCTCTCTTTCTCCCTCCCTACCTTCCACTCTCTCTAAAAATCAATGGAGAAACTATCTCCAGGTGAGGATTAACAAAGAAACAAAACGATAGGAAGCTTCATACCAGCTTGCTGCCATGACCAGACCCATCTCCCACCTCTTCCGACTCCAAAATCCTTGTCCCCATCAGGAAAGGTGATTTCCCACCCAGCCCCTCTTCGCTGATGGAGGGAAGCCGTCCATCTCTGATCTTTTGCAGGAGCAGGTAGCACATACACTCCGAGCCTGCTTGATCATTCACTCCCCCGTTTCCAAGTTCTTAATAATGACACGGCCTTCAGGCTCTCCTCACAGATGTTTTTTCACTTTCCTATTATAATAGTGTCGATATTCCCAAAGAACTGAAACACACGCATCTGTTTTTGTTTTGTTTTGTTTTGAGGGACATAATTTCCAGCCACGTAAGAGGAAGGTCACTGTCTCAGAATCAGTCCTTTCAAAATGAGTAGTGACTTTCTCCCGGAGTCTGTGGCATTGATGTTTGCGGGTGCGGAGTACAGCCCGGCACTTCGGAGCCTTCTATTCTCTGTTCTCAGCGTGTCGCAGCGAAGGTCTCGGGGCTTCTCGAGCTGGGGGCACTGCCTCTGTGCTTGCAGCCACTGGGATCTCTGCGAACCGCTGCTGGGAGGACGGACACGCTATTCAGTAGAACAGGCAGCAGTCAGGACCTGGGCACCGTTCTCATGACACACCTGGGTCCCCAGCCATTCCCAGGCACGCTGCTGGCAGCCAGGAAGATCTGTTGTGGCAAGAAGGCTGCTCCCAGGCAAATACCTGAGGTTCCGACCTTGGTGTTACAATAGGAGCCGACCTGTCCAGATTGCTCTCCCAGTGTCTAGAAGGAACACTGCCTCCTTCACAGTTTAAATATCTGTTTGTGCTTTTGGTCTTTAAACCA